GCTGTAAGTCAGTCTCAACAAAGGCCTCTATGACCCCATAGTGTACTCTGAAGCTGGCATGATCTTACAGGCCTGTCTTACACTGCCGTGAGGGGGCCAGGCCTTTATACTTGTACATTGACCATTCAGTGGATGCAAGCTTCCCCATAAAGGTCTCTCTATCAAGCTGAGGATGTCAGCCAGAAGCACTCCTAACACATGGGGGAATACATCCTTCAATTCAAAAGGGAAATTGAGGCCGTACATGAGACAACCATTGTATTATCTTATCTTGATTCTTCAATGTTGTTGTTGTTAGGTGCAGTAGAGTCTTCCTATCTTTTTAAGGACCTTTAGCTTTCTTCATTGCAAAAAGAGCATGGAGGAGACGTCTTATGACCTCCACTAACTTCAGGAAGGGGAGAGAGAATCAGTATCAGCATCACCAGCCCAAGGCTGATTCCTATGAAGCAGAAGTCAGACATGCCTCCACCCTTCAACCTATTTACCACTTCTGACCTCAACCATGTCCCCCACAGTGCTCTCTACTTCTCTGCTAGATTCAATAATTTGTTCCAGTGGTCACACCGAACTCACAGTCAATACTCACAATTATGGAGTTCATAAGAGAAGTAACAGGTTACAATTCAAGTTCGGGAACACTCAGATAGGACAGCCTCCCCTCAGCCATACCCAAAGACACACCTCTGTTTGGCCTTCGGCCCCATGGCCTGGCCTCTGCTCTGCTCACACAAGTGTTACACAGCTCTTTGAGCTCTGCAGATAGCTGCTCAGAGAGCACCCCACTCCACCAGCAAGCCTCCTGCATAAAGGCACTCAGTTCTCTTGCTGCATGAACTGGGAAGCACACTGCTCTGTCTTGTGCAGGTCTTATGGTTCTGATGCCTCTGCTGCTGGAGTTTCTCTGCCGCCATCTCACATAGTCTCTTGACAACTCAGCAAAGTGTTTCAGCTCTTGTTCTCTCTCTGATCAAGAAAATTCAACACAGGGATCTCAGATCCAAAGGACATGCCCCACTCCTGGGTCTTCTTTCTTGATGATCTTGAGATCCCACTTTCCACCTCTGGGATGGCTCATTTTAAGCCTAGTGAGATGGCAAAACTGACCAATCCCCGTGTTAGGGTGGGGTGTCAGAGTGGGGTGTCCATTTTGACAGAGCTAAAAGTGCTTTCTAACACTTGCCAGAGCAGAGCAGAAGCTAGACCTAAGAGGTCAAGGGCCAGAGAGGCATGCCTGAAGGTGTAGCAGAGGGGTGACTGTCCTGATTGAAGAATTGTATCCCGAATGTGTTCCTGAACCTGAATTGTAGCCAGTTACTTCCCTAATAAATCCCATAATTGTGAGCATTTTCTATGAGTTCTGTGTGCCCATTTCAATGAATTATCAAACCCAGTACAGAAGTAGTGAGTGCCGTGGGAGGGACGGTTGGTGTTAGAGTTGGTAAAAAGGTTGGAGAGTGGTGATGTGTCTAGCCTTGTAGGAATAAGCCTTGGGCTGCTGCTGCTGATTCTGTATCCCTCCTGTGAAGTTTGAGGAGGTCAGAAGATGCTGCCCCCACATCTTTTTGGCACAAATGAATTCAGGCATTATAAATTTTGAGAGGAGGAATGTTTTAAAAGTATGTATTTCTTTGCCATCTACTGTTTTAGTTGAAAGATCAACATTTCTCTCAGGGTATGGTTCATACATGAAGTACAGTACATGTTAAAAGGATGCTCTGAGAAGAAGCACCTCATTACCATGGATAAATCATAATTTAGGTGCTCCTAAAAGTTGCCTTATTCCTATACTGTAATGATGTCACATAGTGAAATATGTAACTGCAGTGTCAACAGACTTAAAATAACAACTGTAGAATTTTGATTTAACAGCAGGCTCTGAGTAAACTGTGATATAAACAGACTGCAGCAGTCTGCAAGAGAAGATATTTTAATATTTCCATTTGAATAGATAGTTAGTTTTCCAGCTCTTTAAGATGAAGAACCTCATTGCAAATTTGGGGCATGAAAACTTTTCTAAACCAGAGAATATAAGACTCTAAATATGACTAAGGACCTGACAATTAAATGATTTGCCAAAATTTTATTTCTAGTCAAGGGTAGAGCCAAAACCAGAAGTGAGGTAGCCTGACTTTCATTCTATTTCTCTTCTACCCTTTTACCCCTGTCAGTTTCTACTTGGTTCTAGATGTGTTCTGGGAAAGAACTGGATATGCTTTAACTCCAGTTAGACTTGATCTTTGATTGACCCTCTCAAGATTATGGTATTAGTGTGAATGGTACTCCTCATCCTCCCAGCCTCATTCCTCTCCTACTCCTACCTCCTTGCTGACCATCCTCTCCCCTTCAAGTCAGTGTCATTGGGCACCATGATAGGGCCTCCTAACCTCCTTTTGAAAGCTTGATTGTGGTCTTAGAACCTAAACTTTCCTTCTTTCCACTGTTAAGCCAAAGCTAGGGCAGCAGCCTATTCACAATGTAGGGCTGGAGGTCAGGCTAGGGAAGGCTCTGGTGAGGAACTAAGTATAGAATTGAGCTGAACAGATAGTTTGGAACCAGTGGTTTTTTGGTTTTGGTTCTGTTTTTAAATCTGTGAATATTTCCTCTTTGGGCCTCTGCTTATCTTTTGTAAAACAAGGGGATTGAATGAAAATATCTTTAGTATTCCTTTTAGTTCTAAAATTCTCTGACTTCTGAAGCTTCTTTCTGTTCCATCAACAGATGTTTATTGAGGACCTGCCATGAAACCTGTACTTGCTGGTTCTATATAAGAGAAAGTGATTATAATCTACATGGCAAGATAAAATTAACAAAAACAACCAGAGAGCATTAAAAACAACAACACTGAAAAGGTTATATGATACAGCATGGACTATGGATGAAGTAGGATTTGGAGGAATAAGATCACTGGGCTTCAGAAAAGCAGTGGTGCTGATGATTTGGCAATGGATGAGTGATAGGACTTGGATAGAGAGAGAAAGAGTTTGGGAAACTTTTGAACCCAGATGTTTTCATCCTCTGAATTCTGTAGGTTTTATTCTAGTTTCATTAATAAATTCTGAGTTTGTCTCTTGCTATTTATTTGAAGACCCTAGTAGCCCAGGTGGCAGTTAATTAGTGAAGAAATTAATTTTTTAATTCTTCTTCTCCTCAAATGTGCAAAAGGTGTCTAACTATGATGTTTGAGATTCCATGGCCAAGAAGAAAACTGATTATTTCACTGCCCCAGAGGTTTTTGTTGAACCAATTATTCCAGTCCCTATTTTGTATGTTCTTTGGAGTGAGAGTTTGAGAGTCTAAGAAAGGAAGGAAAGTGTAATTTATTAGAAGCATAAAACCAGCTTCCCATACTCCTCCACAGAAAGGGAAAAAATAGGCCTGAGCTACCTCTCCAAGTGAAACTTTCTTACAGTGCTAGAGGATTTAGGTAGTGCCAATAGGAAGGGAAAAAGACCAGTTCTAATTTTGAAAACTGACAGTGTGTGTGTGCAGAGCAATGGAGACATTCACATATGTTCATTATTCTCACTTGCTTCCTTTCTCCATTACCCCTCCTCTGCCAAACATATTCCTATTAATCTTCCCCTCCTCATTTCCTCAAATACACATATGCACTGCCGCTCAGAAAAACACCTACACACCAATGTATAAATACACTCACATTTTACTGATACATCTATAAGGATATTCATTCTCGCAACCCATTCAATTCAACTCAAGCATGAGTACCTATAATATGCTATGTACAGTACTCTACACTGGAGATATAAAGATAAATAAGACAGGACTTTTGTCCCAAATAGCATATAATAAGAAGCCTATACAGATAAACTCTTAGTTGTAAGCCCAAAGGTGCATATATACAAACAACTCACTGCCATCAAGTCAATTCTGACGCATAACAACCCTATAGGACAGAGTAGAACTGCCCCCAAAGGGTTTCCAAGACTGCAAATCTATAAGGAAGCAGACTGCCATTCTCTTTCTCCCACAGAGTTGCTAGTGGGTTCGAACTGCCAACCATTGGTTAGCAGTTGAGTATTTTAACCACTGTGCCATCAGGGTTCCTAAAGTACACGTATACAAATTTCTAATCCTACAGACATATACATTGTACATTCACTGATATGTGTATACACTAAAATATAAAAATAAAGCT